ACCCTGAAAGAGTCTCCCTGAGGATCGTGGAGTCACGAAAACCCCAGGTATGGGAGTGTGGCTGGCTTTATTCCAAGCTCTCCCAGGTGGCAGGACAGAAGTGGGTAAAATCAACTGAGAATGACCTGGTTTGTCTGGATGTTCTGAGGGATAGGGATGGTGGATGGGTGTGATCCCTTGTAGAGGCTGAGGCAGCAGAATGAGGTTGAGGGAGGCGCCAATGTCCTCTACATAAACCATAAAGAAGTCAACTTTTCCATGCTACTTTCCTACTTGGCCCTTCTGTCTCCCATCTAGCTCTGATCTGCCTTGCACAACCCTAAGTCATTTCCCTAAAATAGCACATGCCTGGCGCAGGGGCTCTCAGTGGCTAACAATGATGATTGCAACCCTACAGCTGCCACCACAACTCACTGGCCTCTTATTACGTGTCAACCACTGTGTGAAATGCTATGCTTGCCCTGGGCAAGCTACTTCACCTCCTAGTCCTTCGGTTTCCTCATCTGCAAAATGGGGGCCATAGTATTACATACTTCATAGGGCTGTCATGAGGAGCAAATGAGTTAATGCCAGATAAATCCCTTAAAACAGTTACCAGCATGAGTGAATATTCAATAAATGTTAACTCTCACTTATTAAATGTTTACTGAGCACCTTGTATATGCCAAGCATGATATATGCCCTGGTGATGTAACGGTGAGCAAAGTTTTCTCATGTTGCTTGCAGTTAAGTGTTGGAGATGCAATTAAACATGCACTTACAACCCAGTGGTTTAAATGCTACCGTGGGGAAGATCTGGGAGGGCAAGACATTTGTTTCTTTCTTTTTTTGTTTCTATGATTAGAAAGTAAGTTCCATAAGAGCAGACATTCTTTCTCCTTTGTTCACAGCTGTATCCTCAATGCCTAGGAAGAATCTGGCCCTCCATAAACATTTGCTAGGTGAATGAATGAATGAAATGCAATTTTAGCTACACCTGAAAAAATCGCTGTCAATAAAGTTGATAGTGAGGAAAGAAAAGAGAGTAACTTTCAGATCAACACTTACACTTTCTGAAGTAATATTATTTATTTATTCATTTATCTAATGTAAGCTGCCTGGTAGCAGAGACCTTTTCTGACTCATTCATCCCAGCACCTAGACATGTGTTGACAGACTGAATGGATATTTGTGACCCCACGTCTGCAGCAGCCAGCTGAGTGGCCTTGGTGAAGTTGCTCTCTCATAAAACATATCTGTTTCATCATCCTTAAAATGGGAACAAATAACTCCTTTACATTGCGTATTATGAAGACTGGAGAGAGTGCGTGTGAGACACCCAGCATCCACATGCAGCTTTCAATAGGCGTTATTTTCTTTTCCCCTCCCATTCTCTGGGCCACTTGGTATCCACTATTGTTAAAGACATATGTGGAGGTGGAGAAGGTTCTTGATCATATTTGGTCAGAAATGCTTGAATCCTTCTCCTCGAGATCTTTCCCAAGGAAATATATCCATGTAGAAAAGTGCAAAACCAACAGAGGTGAATTATTATTAGTTGGGATTTTGCCCCAAATCTTAAAGTAGAGCTCATGAGGCCTTTGGGTACTCCTCTCTTCTATACTAGGTAGGTCTAAGGAAATTCAAACCCCGACTCAAACATAAGTCTTGGTTTCTATGAAGTCAACACAGCAGGGAACCCAAAAGGGACCACCAGAGCCAAGAGAAAGGAGAGAATTTGCCCCAGGGCTCGGAGTGGAGCTGGCCCAGGCCACCAACCATCTCAAGGCAAGATCATGAGAACTGGATCCAGCAGCCTCCTGGGAGAGGCGAAGGATGTGAGAGAAAAGAAAGATGGTGACTGCCTTTTAACCCCTGTGCAAGCTCCGCCCACTGGGACCGGGCCAATCATTGTCTTGGAATCTAACCAACCAGATCAGCTCTCTGACTCCTTAAGGGGAGTGAGAGAAGCCCTGAGCTCCCCCTACAGGCCAGTGTCAATTATGAGCAGGGGTTTCTTTTCAGGTGGATTTGAAGCACTCCTTTTCCAGCTTTGTGAATACTCAAGAGGCACAAAGGGAAGTGCTCCATGACAGCATCCCCAACCTTTTTGGCACCAGGGACTGTTTTCATGGAAGATAATTTTTCCATGGACCAGGGGTGGTGGGATGGTTTTTGGATGATTCAAGAGCATTACATTTATTGTGCACTTTGTTTCTATTATTATTACATTGTAATATATAATGAAATAATTATACAACTCATCATGGGTTGGGGACTCCTGCCCAATGACACAGAGCAGGGGGATTCTTTTTCTAGGAACCTGATGTATTCACTTAATCTTGTTGTCCAGGGATGGAGACATGACTGGTTCAGCTGATAATTGAGAGCCTTTTAGTTTTTGTTTTGCGATTTCCAAGCCCTGCTGTTGTTAGTAGGGTAGGACCTCAATCCTTGAGCAGGACAGGTGGCTGCTGGGGTCCTTTTTCATGCTGAGAGTGCTGCAAGGTCCTGCTGCCAGAGCAGAACACACCTGGCCTCTCAAACTTGGCCGTCCAGAACTGCACAAGGGCTGGTACTTCATCTGGCTGACTGCAGAAGGAGGGAGTGTCATGAAAGAAACTTAGTAGCTCATTAAGAAGATGCAAGGCAATCAAAGCCTGCAGTGACTGAAGATTTTTTAGATCAGGTTTATTGAGATATAGTTTTCATGCTGTAAAATGCACTTTAAAAAATAGTAAAATACACCACAGTTGATATATAGACCATTCCAATCGCCAAAATAATAATAATAATAAATAAATAAATAAAATAAAAAGTTCCTGCATTCTTCCCCATTATAGTTAATCCCCTTTCCACCTCTAACCCCTTTTAACCACTGATCTGTTTTCTGTCACCATAGTTTTGCCTTTTCCAGAACATCATATAATGGAATCCAGCAGCAGGTAGCTCTTTGTGTCTGCCATCTTTCTCTTAGCATAATGCTTTCAAGGTTCACGGATGCTGTTGCGTGTATCAGTAGCTCATTCCTTCTTATTACTGAAAAGTATTCCATTGTGTGGATGTCTCACGCTTCATCTGTTCACACGTTGAACAATATTTGGGTTGTTTCCAGTTTGGGGCTATTTTAAGTACAGTGGCTATAAACCTTCAAGTACAGGTTTTATGGATGTGTTTTCATTTCATTTAGAAGTAGGATTTCCTAGGGGAGTTCCGGTTATGTTCTCTCCTCACTAACACTTGGTATTGCCCATTTTAATTTTCTAAAATTGTAGCAAATCTAGTAGGTATAGGATTATTTTTAAATTTTGAAAAGAACAGTTTCTTAGGGGAGAAACACACATCACTTTAATAGCACATAAAATGATGTATACGTATTATGCCCATTTATCTGCTTACTTTTTCATTCATGTTCTATCTCTGTTACTAGAATATAAGATTAAAGGAGGCACCTGCACCTGCATCAGTAAATACATGTGGATGGATGAATGAATGAGGGAAGAAATAGGTAGCATTTAGCAAAGGCTAGGAGCCTCAGAGTGGGGAGCCTGCAGGTGCAACCTTTTGACTGAATTTTTTCTGTAAAATTTGGATTCACTCGAAAGACCACACACTTAAGGATCTAGAAGGCCACAGGTTCCTCACCCCTGGCTGGGGTGTCAGATCAGCCCTGGGCTGGAATCTATAATCCACGTTATTAGCCTTGGCAATGTACAATTTAACAAAGAAAGCAACTTTGGGCTGGGAAATAGAGCTCTGTGTGCTGAGGCATAGCTGGGCACCACACTGGCAAAGTAGTAATAATAACAATTCATAAGTTTATACCGCTTGCTGTGTGCCAGGTGGTGCTAAGATCTCTACACAGGTTAATTCATCTGTTCTTCCCAATAGTCCTATAAGGTGAGTGCTATCATTACCTCCAGTTTACAGATAAAGAAATGGAAGCACAAGAAGATCAAATAACTTGCCCAAAGTCACACAGCTAAGAAGAGCCCAGGTGGTTTATCTTCCCAAGTTTGTACCTTTAACTTGTACTGCCAGGTTGGGAAGGGCGTCTGTCAGTTAGGGAGCCAGGTAAGCTGCTGTGAGAAGTAGCCCTCAAAATAGAGTGACTTAAACAAGAGAGAAATTAGGTTTCAATTTTTTTCCTCAGGTGTCAGTCGAGGGACAGAGTCCAAAGCTGACCAGGGTGGCTTTGTTCTTTCCACACATGGCTCCAAGTTTGGGTCCAAGGTGGTCACTTCCAGTTCTCACTGCCTTCCAGCCTGTGGGAAGCAGGAAAGGGGCCAGGGAGGTTCACGCACATTCCTTTTGAGGGAAGACCCTGGAACACACGCATCCCATTGGCTGGCACTCAGCCCCATCAAGCTGCAAGGGAAGCTGGGAAATGTAGTCTCTCTTTGGGCGTCCATGCTCTCTGCTAACACTCAAGGGTCCTATTATTAATATTAAAGGGAAGAATGGATATTGGTGGAAAACTCACAGTCTCAGCCACAACTTGCAGACTACTCATTGGGCTTTGAACTTTATTCCATAGGTAATGAGGAATTGTCAATGTCATTTGTTAATTGTCAAATGTTTCATGCCCACACTTGGGTTTTTGATACTCTAGAAGCTTGCTTGGCAAATAAGAGGGTGGGGGAGAAATAGGAGCAAGGAGGACTGTTTCACTGATGTGTCAGTTTGCTTTGTCATCTCTGGAGTCCTTGCTCTAGGCAGGAGCCAGTAGGTTGGTTCTCAGATGGGCCTGGAAGGACAGTGTGCAGGAGGGGTGAAAGAATGTGTGCTGGGGCTGGAAGGGGAGCCATCGTCTGTCTTCGTCATTCATTTCTTCAATGGCTATTTATCCAGCACCATGTCTGGGCACAGGGCTCCAGCGATGGTCCCAGCAGGCCGGATGAACGGGTATGGGGAACTCATATTCCCCAGGTATGAGTCTCTGATGACTCAACGCAAAGCAGTGTGAATCCTTAGCGTGCCGCGCTGACACTGGCCTCTTTTGTCGTTTCTCTTGACCTTAGGACCCACGGAGCAAACACAAGTTTAAGATCCACACATACTCCAGCCCCACGTTTTGTGACCACTGTGGGTCACTGCTGTACGGACTCATCCACCAGGGGATGAAATGTGACAGTAAGTACTTTTTCTCTCCGGCAGCCTCTGCTGCTGGCACCAGGGCTGCTTCCTCATGGTTTGGGGTCCAAGACTGCAGCACCTTCTCCCTAGTCCTGGGTGGCGCTGGTGTAGCGGTTGCCTATTGCTGCGTAATGATCCTCCCACCCCCAAATGTAGTGGCTTAAAACAATTACCATTTGTTTAGCTCATGGCTCTGCGAGGCAGCCCTCTGGGGCAGGGCGGGGCTTAGCTGATGTGGGCGGGGCTTACCACACGTGGGGCCCCAGCGTGGGGGCGATGCTCCTGCCTCAGAGACAGGGGTGGGTGGGAGCTTGGCTGGGGCTCAGGTGCCAGGGGGTTCCCCTTTCTCTCCCCATAACTCATTTCCTGGTTTTGCAATCTACGAACTTATGTTTATCACGTAACACGTGCGACATCATTGCATCAACAGGCCAGAGCAGTTTATACACATATTTCATTCACCTTCCCCTGGGGCTAAATTTTTTCCTTGTAATCAGTTGTGGTGGGCACTGTGGTCAGCCCAGGTGCCTGTTACTGCGAGTTCACAGTGGTGTCCCTTTGTGGGGAATTTTCCACATGATGAAAAGGGGCTGGGGGCCCTTCTGGGGGTGGTTCATGGCCAACCACTGGCTGGTTGCAGTGTGCAGGTGCGGGTGTGCAGAGGCCTGAATCACTTGTCTCCGTTTGGGACGACTGTGAAGAGTCATCTTGGCTTCCGTTGCACCCATGTGGCAGGCCAGCTCCTCCCCCCAGAGGACCCCCCAAAAGTTTTGTGCAAAACGCCCCCTCTAAGCCTCTTTCCAGGAAACTCAACCTATTAGCCGTCAGTATTTAAAAATCGGGAGATGTCACATAAAATTGAGATCCCTGCTTATCTTGGGAAATGGGAAACCTTGACCACTTCAGGTGGGCATCCTCGCATGGCTGTGCCTGAGTGGGGGCCACCGTGGTCCCCCTATTGGTCGAGTCCCCGCTATCCCCCACCCCTGCTTCCCTCACTAGTGTGACCCATGGGCGTTGACGATGGTGATGCTGGCTTCAGTGCCTTTGGGGGTGTGGAGGGTGCGGGTGCCTGCTTCAGTCTGCACCCTTGGCCTTCGGTGGGGGACGGACAAGTTCAATGTCAGAGTTGGAGAAGCCCTTCTGATGAGGTCCTGGCCAGGCAAGTGGGTCTCAGCTGCCTCAGAGGAGGGGACAGGAGGGGTGGAGTGGAATTCTGTGGCCCCTGGCCTGGGCCAGCCTGATCCGCTCTCTCTGTCCCCGCAGCCTGCATGATGAACGTGCACAAGCGCTGCGTGATGAACGTCCCCAGCCTCTGCGGCACCGACCACACGGAGCGCCGCGGCCGCATCTACATCCAGGCGCACATCGACAGGGAAGTCCTCATCGTCGTTGGTAGGTGGCCCTGGGGCTCCTGCCTGGCTCCTGTGTGCTGAGGAGGGGAGGGACGGGGCGCTGCAGGGGCTGGGGGCACCGTGACCCCCATGGCAGTCCCTCCTTGCCGTGGCCTCCTTAGACACAAAGCTACATCCTCAGTGCCTCGGGCTGGCTCAAGCCCCTCGAGTGGCCATCCGAGTCCCCTGGCTTCTCCCCTTCTCTTTCCCGCTCTTTCTCTCTGTGTCTTTTGGGGTATGCCATTCCATTTTCTAACATTCGGGTAGCAGAGAAGGGAAGCTTGGTTCTTCCCCGAACTTGCCCAGGGGGAAAAACAGAGTTTTGATGATAAGCACCGAAAGTGGAGTGGTACAGCCTGCTGGGGAGATGCAGTGAGGCAACGGTGGGGTAGCGGGGAGAGGAAGGTGTTGTCCATCAGACACTCTTGGCTGTGACACAGGAAGCTCAGGCATAATTGGAACTCGGCTGCGCTGGCCTGGGGACTGCTCAGCCACAAGAGGCGGTAAAACCAGCACCCAGCTGGCCGGGAAGGGAGCTAAGACTTTGAAGGAATTCTCTCTCACAGGCACGTGACAAACTGCTATAGACTTTATATAACTAATTAACATAAACAGGGTTTTATGAGTTGGCACCTTAGGAAATTGATCATGGAAGAGATTGATTTTGGCCAAACTGGCCTGTTTCTGAGGCCTCAGAATGGTCCAGTATCTCTGATGTGCTGAGCCCTGGATTGGGAGGGGCTTGAAAGTTGAAAAATATCCCTGTAAAATGTCATTCTTCCTTTAAACTGAGGTTTGTGAAGCCCAGTGAGCGCTTAGAAAAATATGCATTCCATTACGCTACTTTTTCCTCCAAGCGGCTGTTTGCCTCGCAGTGGGATGCTTGGCGCCCCCCTCCACCCCGCCCGGCTCCCAAAGAGAATCTTGCAGTCACAGGTTCAAGAGAAATGCGTTTTCCCCACTGACTCAGCTTCCTGGCACTTGAATTGGCAAAAGTGACACTTTTCTGCCATCTAGTGTCATTCTCTAGGAATGACACCAGCTCAAAAAAATGATACTGCAGGTGCCAGCGTTTATGGACCACATGGGGTGGTCCCCCCTGCTCTCAGAACCTCACCTGTTATCTCTTGCAGTCCTCACAACTGTGTTGCAAAATATCACTATCTTCGTTTTACAAATGAAGTAGCCAAGGCTTAGAGAGGTTAGATTCCAAGAGTTCACGCCATTAGTAATAGTAATGAACAACAGCTGACATTTACTGAGTTTTTAAATGTGTCCATCATTATGCAAAACATGTGCAGGCAGTATCTTGTTTAAATTTTTCCAGCTGTTCTAATGGGGAAAGTTATTATCATTCTAGTTACCAGGACATACACTTCCACACCTAGGCTTGTTTGACTCTTAAGTACTAGAGACTGGGTTACCTTTTAATTTAGTTTAGTTCTCCTTCCCCACCTTATTCATTCCCTGTGTGGTTTCACCTCGGTAAAAATGCTCTTTTGAGCATTCCTTGGGGAGTCTTTGTTCCCATGTGGTGCAATGCAAGGTGCTTTCAAGTTCAAGGTCAAAGTCTTCCCCCTTAATCATAGACATGCTCTGGTCTTGATCACAAGCCAGTGATTCTCGGTCAGTCCCAGGACACACCTGTGAACAGGAGGTGCATTCGTTTCCCAGGGCTGCCATTAAAAAGCACCACAAACTGGATGGCCTGAAGCAACACATATTTATTTGCTTGGTGTTTGGGAAGCTAGTGGTCTGAAATCAAGGTGTCTGCAGGATCGGTTCCTTCTGGAGGCTGTGAGAGGTCTGCCCTGTGCCTCTGTCCTGGCTCCTGGGAGTTGCTGCAAATCTCTGGTGCTCCTTGGCTTGGAGATGCATCACTTCAATCTCTGCCTTCGTCATCCCAGGCGTTCTTCACTATGTGTCTCTGTGTCCAAATTTCCTCTTCTTGGTAGGACACTGGTCACTGGATTAGGGCCCACCTGGTGTGACCTCATCTTAACTTGATTACATCTGTAAAAACCCTGTGCCCAAATAAGGTCACATCCACAGGCACTGAGGTTAAGACACAATCCAACCTATAATGGAGGAAGAGGGAGGAAAGTTGGGGTGCCCTTAATGTTATGGGCAGAATATCTGTGTGCATAGGGCTCTGATAGCATTAACTAAATAGCTACCAGCATTTTAATAGCACTGTGTGTTTTTCCAAGTGCTGGGATATTGGGTCATCCTGTGGAGGTGATGTTGTTGCCATCACAGGAAAGGGGACATTAAGACTCAGCAAGGCTGAAGACGCTGACCAATGCCACATGAGGAGCAGGAAGGAGCCCCTGAGGCTCCAACTGCATGTCATGGTGCCCTGCAACTGCTCCCTCACCATGCCAGGCACAGTCCGCACTCAGCACGGGCTTGTTGATTGATCGATGATAGAAGAGCCTGGTGTTCTGGCCGTGTCCTCTAAAAATAGGGCCAGGATGGGAGTTTTTGCTCAAGTGATTTATTGGGCTGCTCACAGGGAAAGGAGGAGTGACAGAAGCAGGATAGGGCAGGGGACAAGTTCAGCCAGGGTGTGGTCTCCGTGGAAGGGCACTTCAACCTGGCCCCCAGAGGACCAGGGCCACACACTGCAGCAGAGTCAGCCCCACCTTGAAGTACGGGGGCCGGTCTGTCACACTCTAGGTCGATCAGTGCTACAGGATGACGTATGTCTCATTCCTACCCTCCAATGTGATGGAGTTTGGAGATGGGGCTTTTGGGAGGTAGTTAGGGTTAGATGAGGTGGGGCCCTCATGATGGGATTAGTGGTGGCATAAGAGGAGGAAGAGAGAGATCACTCTCTCCACCGTGTGAGGACACAGCCATCCGCAAGCCAGGAAGCAGGTTAGTACTAGGAACTGAAGTTGCCAGCACCTTTGTCTTGGACTCCCCACTTTCGAGAACCGTGGGAAGGTAATGTCTGTTGTTTTAGCCACCCAGTCTGTGGTTTTCTGTCATGGCAGCCCGAGCCGCTGGGGGTAGAGGTGGGAAGGTAGAGTGACCTGCCAAGCTTGGTGGCTTCTGTGTAGCTGAGGGCAGTTACCTGGACATAGGGCAGCTGTGAGCCACTCACAGCAACCAGGGGCAGGTGCATTGGCCGGTGTGGCGGGAGCTAGCCAGGTCCCACAGCTTCCAGGACACCTGGGTCTCCTTTGGTCTCCCCAGCATCTTTCTGGTTTCATTGTTGGACTCCAGGCCCCTCCTCCTTGGTCTTGACCAGACATATCAGAGAACAGAGGACGATAAAGGTTTCCTGGGGCCTGTCCCAGCAGTGCCAGACCAGATGTGGCCTTGGGGTGTTTGCTGAATCGCCCCACCTCATCCAGACCCAGGAAGCATGTGTGGTGTCAGGTCTGTCCCCTCACCACCAGCCCAGGACAATGCTGTTTGCTCTGAAGGTCACGTGCTCTTTGGAAATCCAAGCATCTCCAGAGGTGGAAGGTTTCCTATCTCCTTCGGCGACCGAAATCTAGGTTGTACATCTGCTGTTAGGTTCTTACAGGCCAAGATCAGAATAAATCTGATCTGTTCTCCTTCCTTTACAAGCCCCTTGGTGGCTTCCCACTGTCTTTAGGACAGACACTGTCTAACATGGTCGTCTCATCCTTTACTCTCTCTCCTCCCCCTTCCCTCTAAACCCTGGTCCTCTCTAGGCTGTGACACCCTGCAGGACATCTGCGTATTCTGTCCCCTCTGTTTGGAATGTTTGTCTCTGCCATCTTCTCTCCTTCCAGCAGTCAACTTTTCCCCTCCATCTCGGCTCATTTTCACCGTCAGGGAAGCTCCCCCTGACCTCTCCCTGTCGCAGGCACTCATTCCACCCTGAGCCTGAACTTGTGTCATTTGCGGCTTTACGTTGGGTTTGACCGGTGTCTGCGTCTCCCACAAGGCCTGGCCTCTATGAAGGCAGGACTGGGTCTGCTTGGTCCCCCACTCTGTCCCCAGCACCTAGAAGGGTGGACATCACCAGGTATTTGTGGAATCAGTAGATGTGAGTATTAATGAGAAAGCACTGGAGGATCCCGAGAGGCGCAAGACCTTCCCAGATGGCACCCAGGTCCGTGCCTTCTGATGGAAAGACCTGTAGGTCAGCAAATGATTCAACTTATACCACTCTTCTTGCAGGGAGCAGAACACACAGAAAATCTTCAGTGCCAAGTCCAAGGGCAATAGCATTACTGGGACTGGGACCCACCCTGTGGAGCCATGGTGACCCATGTTCCCTGGACAGTGTACAAATGATACGGAGCAGTAGGGCTTGTAGAGTCGTAGGAAACCGTAGTGACATCATGGTGTCTTCGGTATCGTGAGAGCAGGTGGTACCATGTCCAGATCAGAGCTGTAAAATGCTACCGAAGTCTATGAAGCCTGTGTCTTTGTACACGTGACCACATCTTATTCAGCCCCCTCTCAATTCAGTATCCCCTGGCCAACATAACAACTGACATTCCTGTCTACCTTTCAGCCATCTCCAAATCCTTACCCATGTCTTCAGATCCATAATTATATCTCCCAAAAGTTGGGGCTGCTCTTTATAAAAGCAAAATGAACAATTTTATTTATCTATTTATTTTTTAAAAGCCAGTCAAATTTAGCAGTGAGGAGTTTTATACCAACTTTAGTGATACTAATGTTAATAAGATCTGATAACCCTCTACCATCAGACCAGCCAACAACTTGGGTTTTTTTTATGTTTCTCTTTGGGATTTGTATGCAGTGTTCTTACCATTGTTTTGTGTTGTACAGAACCTCTTTAGACTGAAACATCTCCCAGACAGACTTAGGTCTCCCAGTAGTGTGGTACTGAAACCCTTCCCAAGATCTTACATCCACATGTCAAAAGAAAAAGAGCACCAAAGAGACAAAAATCCTTGATAGGCTACTGGGGAAAGTTGAGGGTCACATTTCCCTGTACAGTAGATTCCAAAAGGTTGTGTTTTTTTTTGTTTTTTTGGGTTTTTTTTG